TACTCTTCATTCTTTTGGATTCCTTAAAATAACTATTCCTGTTTGAGCCACTCCCGTTTGATTTTCCCGGTTTGATTTTCCCGTGTCCAATGTCCAATCTTGGAAACCTAAACATTGAAATCTGAAAGGCAAAATCGTTGATCTTAATCGAGAGTCTTCTTAAGTGATCCGGTCATTTAAGATGTAATTAACTATAGGGGCTTTGCTCTATAGGGGTGCCTCTATAGAGTACTTGGAATCTAGGTAAAATAAACCTTATCTAATTCTTATATTAGATAGGAAAATTTGTCAGTTATTTATAAAAGGTTTTGCAAACCGAACGGATGTCACAAACTCCTTAGTTTTGGTGGTTGAGTCTACTGTCAAGTGGTATGCTTATCATTCAGATAGTGTATTACTTGTGGTATTGCGCTCAGCCATCCAAACTATTCAATATGTGAGACTCGTTTAGTCTCATCTATTTTAAATTAAAATACTACCTTCAAAAAATCATATTTATATTAAAACTATTTTCATATTTTACAAAAAAATCACATTTCCTTTTTCAAAATAACGGCCGACACATAGTCCTTTATACAATTAAACTCGTCATCACCATTAGCTTTATTCTAATTCCTTTGGTTGGTTTTATGAACTTCCCTTATCCATTGATACTGCTCTTGATTATTTAAATTTGAGCTCCACTGTTGATTGGTATATAACTGGTATTCATATATAAGAGGGTTTGTGGCTCAACCAAATTTTTTTAAAAAAGGTTAAACTGTTAGAATGATCTGCATTTGCATTATTTGTACCAGTTTCATACCATGCTTGGACTATTGAGATTGTTGGTAGGACATGACTGAGAACTTGAATTAAATATTTTTCTAGCTTAAGCCTATGGATGCTATTCATTTTTTGTATGGTTAGGTAAGGTTTTGTAACCAGATTGATCTTATGTTTATATTAAGACATTGATCAATGCTCATGGGCCATCCATTACATATAACTCAAATTGTTGTTCTCAAGCCACTTGAATAGAAGAAATCAGACGAGGGAGATGCGCTTGTTAATGGTGGATCAGAGACATCAATGTTGCTTCATGATTATGTTAAAATTCAATAGGGGAATTTCCAAATTTGTAACATACAATCCTTATATATTTACATATCCAACACTCAAACTTCATTTCTTACATACATACCACTTATCTGCTACTTGTTTACATATCTAACACCTCATTACATTTATGCCATCCAAACTTTTCATATCACATAAAGCTTACTACGATTTCAACCTTTAGACACAAAATACACTTTCTCATGCATAGTTAAGGTGGTAGGTATGCAAACATCGAAATTTGGGTGATGATTTTGTAAATATGTAGGGATTGAGTGTGCATGCAAAGTCCCTTTAATTGCATTTCACTGAAATTGGGTTTTGATATGCAAACACATGTGTAGCGATTAGTGTACATACTTTGGGAGCATTTGTGATTCTTTTCAGAAGCCTTAAGATCACTGTTTTGAGTTCCTAACTGTTGTCCGGAGTTGTAGGAAACCTTACGATCACTGTTCGAAGTTCCTAGTTGTTGTCCGGAGCTGTAGTAAGTCTTATGATCGCTATTTGAAGCTATTTGCTGTACGGAGTTGTAGTTTAGAGTTTCTAGCTGTTGTCCGGAGTTGTAGGAAGCCTTAGGATTCCTGTCTGGAGTTCCTAGCTGTTGTCTGGAGTTGTGTTGTAGGAAGCCTTAAGATCGTTGTTTGGAGTTCCTAACTGCTGTTCGGAGTCGTAGAAAGCCTTATGATCGCTGTTTGGAGTTCCCATGCTGTTCGAAGTCGTAGGCAGCCTTAGGATCGTTGTTTGGAGTTCCTAGTTGTTGTCCGCAGTCATAAGAAGTCTTAAGATCATTATTTGGAGTTCCTAGCTACTGTCTGGAGTTATAGGAAGCCTTAGAATCACTGTTTGGAGTTCATAGTTGCTGTCGGGGGTCGTAGGAAGCCTTAGGATTACTGTTTGGAATTCCTAGCTGCTGTTTGGGGCTGTAGGAAGCCTTAGGATCTTTGTTTGAAGTTCCTAGCTACTGTTACGACTCATTTTGTTTTTCTTTATGCTAGAATTCCTTATTTCCTTCTTTTTCTGCAATTATTTAAATTCTCTGTAAATTATATTATTTTTTATAAGCTAACCATGCAACGAGAATTGCGAGAAGATGACAGGTACGTGTGTATAGTTTATTTATTGTCATTTTTTATCACTGTAATTTACTTTTGCTTTAATATATATCACACATGTCTGGTTGTAATTTCATTTTCAAAATAAAACAAAAAATATAACACATTATTTTGAATTTGCGGGTGTTCCTCGGATGAGGTAACCCACGGTTGCTAACGAAATCTTCTCAGTTTAAATGAGTTCAACTCATTTAAACTAAGTAAATTCAAAAGAAAATAGTGATACCAGAATGAGAGAATTGTGAAATTCTAACCGGTGTCACTCTAATCAATTTTAACCCCTTCATAATGCTTGAATAATAACAAAACTTGTCATTTAAACATATCTGGTAAATTCTTTCGAGCCTTAAAATTTAGGACTGTTACTTTAACAAGGAGGTTTGAGCCAAATTTGTGGGCAGTACGGTAAGGAGCTTGGATCAAGAAATAAGAGGATCTTCTTCAACAATCTCTCTCCCTAGTTTAAACAATAACAACCCATAGGATTTTGAAGTAGCTCGCCCAACGCGACTTAAATCCTCACTCTTTTTAGGCTCCTGTGCAACTATGTTGTACAACGTAAGTCCTAACTCATATTAAGTTCCGAGGTTTTCGTCCGGTACAGCATAAACCCTCATGCAGTCATACAGTATGATAGTTTGAGAAGTTACTGAGGGTTCTCCTTAGGATCTGTAACGTCCTCTACATTTTCCTTCCTTTGGACTCTTGAAAATAACTGTTCCTATTTGAGCACTCTCACTTGCTTTTCCACTAACTACCGTGAAAACCTAAACTTCAAATTCTTTAAGACTAGTACCTCTGGTTATTATCGAAAGTTTTCTCAAATGGCCCCAATCATTTGGGATGTAATTAACTATAGGGGCTTGCCTCTATAGGGAACTTTGAACCTAGGTAAAATAAACCTTATTTAATATTTGTTTTAGATATGGGAACTTGTCGGTCACACATAAATGTTTGCAGACAAAACAAATGTCACAAATTCCTTAGTTTGTATGATTGAGTCTATCGCCGAGGTATACACTTATATTTCGGGAATGTGTAGTATTTGCGGTATCGAACACAATTATATAAACTATTGGGCAAATGAGAACTATTTGATCTCATTTTTAAAAAATTAAGACACTACTTTCAAAATCAAAATTTTATACCCCTTATGTTACATTAAATTTTAAAGAAATTTTTTCAAATCAAAAAATAACGGCCGACAGGTCTGAGCCTTTGCTCAATCGTGTTCGGCTTGTTACATCTCTCCCCGGGATACAACCCTAAGCGAGAAGAAGAGACGATGTGGCTGCCTTAACAGAAAACTAAAAAATAAAACCGGTCTAAAACATGAAACCAACATATAAATAATACTAAATAATTAAGAGGGGGCAACCCCACTCCTAATTGGCGGTAACCCTTTCTTCCCAGCTGATCTGGTTCAATTGCTCCAGACTGTTTAGAGAGCCAATCTTGAAGTTTTTGATTCTTGAATTTAGAGGATTGAGTAGGTGACGGTGAGGGTACTCGCCACTTATGAAATTTCTGATTCCCGCCCGAATTTTGAGAAATGGATGGGGTGAGGTTGGGCTGCTCGTGAATATTTTGAATCTTTTGATTACATATTTAGGTGAAGAACAGCGCAGTATGGGGTGCGTTGATGGTGGTTTGAGTTTGGTTGTGTGGAGGAAGTGATGGAGAGGGAGAGAACCGAGACTGAAATTCTTTTTGAGGAATGAATGGGGTTGAGGATGAGCAACTAATGAAGTTCTGATTACATTTTTAGGAGAAGAACAGGGCAGTATGGGGGTAGTGGTGGTTTGGGTGTGGGGGTGGGAAGTGAGTGATGGAGAGGGAAAGAACCAAGTCTGAAAATTTTCTTTCTACATTGAGGAAGAATATTGGATTCATGGATGGGTGTGAAGATGTGGGAAATTATAAGAGCAAGACAAAGAAAGGTGGAGAGAGTTTCTCTTTATGAAGGTTGAGCATATTTGATAGTTTAACCGCTGCTCCATATGCTATATCGTTAGCTAGCCAACTGTGGAAGTCTGGCCTGTGGTCCAGCTATATTTATTTTTCTAGAAGTTCTTATTCCTTGGGAGGAATGGAGAAGTTTGGGGAAGGGATAGGTGAAAGTAAAGAGGGAGAGAGGGAGGGATGACTTATATTTGTACAGAAGTTTGATGATTTTTTTGTGCTGTTACCATGTTTTATGTTTTATGTTTTATCGAAGTCATCATGGCGCTTTAAGTATTTTTTTAGTTTTAAATTAATTATGACCGGAAGGAATGTTTCACAAATGGATGGTGATGAGCTTTAAAGAATATATTTAATAATGGTTTGTTATTCTAATCACCCTCCCCTTTTGATTCTGAATCCACTATAGATAATCGGATCTGACTCTCCTCCAGATAATATGTATAAATAGCGACCAGGAAAAATCATCTCTATTATTTTGTTGTTTGGACAAGTATCCGTGAAATGCATTTTTGGAAGGCAATAAAAGAAAGAAAAAACACAAGAATGTATACGTGGACTTTTCAATGCATGTAAACTTGTAAATATTTTCGCGGTACGAGTTTTCTTTTTTAGAATATGTCATTTCCCCTCCCAATTTTCTTGATGGTAGTGCTTATGCTTCTTAGTCTTTGGCTACTTGCCACTTTCCGCCCAATTCTTACATTATTTCACATCCTTATGGCGTGGTTATTTTCTAAATTAAGTGATTCTCTTTGCTTTGTGACTTTGAGGGTTCATTTTCTATAGACATTTGATAACCTTGCCCAATCGTTAAATTGGCAGGTCTGGCGACTCGACAGCACGGATTTGGGCTATTCCTGATGGTCCTTGCGGCTCTAATATGCTTCCTCCCCAAGTGCATGTCTTGAAACATTTCAAGGGTCGAACAAATGAGAAAAGCAAAGATGTGACCACGTTAGACTGGAATGTAAGATTTGCTAGTTTGTTGAGCATCTATTTTAGCCACTTACCTTTGACACCCCTCCACCTTCTTCAATCTCTCAAAGCTTCGTATCACTGCTGCAGTTTGAGGGTTTAACTTTGTTATCTTAACTGAAGTCTTATCTGGCAATTTGTCCTGTTTTGTAGGGTGAAGGAACATTGCTTGCAACTGGCTCTTATGATGGACAAGCGAGAATTTGGAGCAAGGACGGTAATATATGCAAGATTGAAATTATTATATCTTTCTACTTGCTATTTTGCTATATTAATGTGAAAGTTATTTTATTTCTTTCGACTGCTGCTATTTTTCTTGTATCATATTTTTATTTTTGTCATGCTTGTTCATTTGCTTTTTTTTTTTTGAAATGTGTAATACTGGCACAAAGTTGCATTTTCAGTTTTTTAATAGAAAAAAAATATAAAAGGAAAAAGGAGTTTTTGAAAGTTGTAATATGAGACGTTACTTTTATCATGCATAACCTTACTAAAATACAAAAGATTTGCTGCTGTGTGGACTCAGAAATCCAATATTAAATCATTGATAGGGACATCTGTTTATAATTTTGAGAATATATCTGAATTTTGCTTTTGCCGTTTCTTTAACAAATGATGACCCTATATCAATAGTGTGCTGCAGATGCTAGCTATTGTGTTTGTAGAATGTGTTTTTAAGTGGTCTCATTTTCTTAGGTATATATATATATATATATTGGCTCGTTTAATTGCTTGTGGATAGGGAACTTATTCTTGAAAATGTGTGCAAAATAATGATAATATTTGAAAGGATTTTTTTTTTCCGTTCAATGCAAATTTCTTTTTACATCCAACCAAGTGATGGAATATAAGTAAAATCAATCATCCTTAACCAAAAAAGAAAAAAAAAACATCTAAATACAATCTTACCAATTCAGATTAAAATTGCTGTGCTGCTTGTACCTGAATGTCCGAACTTAAGATGAAAATTTTTAGTTCTTTGTTAAAATAATAATCTTTATTGTTATTTTAGCATACACGGTATTCTGTATGCTGTTCAAAATTTGATGCTCTTTATTTTAATATCTGTTGTGAATAACTATCATAGGGGAGCTAAAGAATACTTTAGCTAAGCATAAAGGTCCAATATTTTCCTTGAAATGGAATAAGAAAGGTGATTTTCTTCTCAGTGGAAGTGTGGATAAAACTGCTATTGTGTGGGATACAAGGACATGGGAGTGCAGGCAACAGTTTGAATTTCATTCAGGTGCCTAATCATTGTTACAAGAGATACAAAAGAAAAATTGAACTTTATTTCTTAGAAAATCAAAAGCATTGTGCTAATCGCTTGCAAATTTGTATTTCTTTCCAGCTCCTGCTCTTGATGTTGATTGGAGAAATAATGTTTCTTTCGCAACTTGTTCCACGGACAACATGATTTATGTCTGCAAGGTAGGGGAGGGACGCCCAGTTAGAGCATATGCGGGGCACCAGGTGAGTTGATGCCAGTGCATTGTTGTTGATACTACTTTTCCCCTTTTTGCTATCCAGTCAGAAAAATTGACACGTCATGCTTTAACTAATGGATTACTAATTGAGTAGATCTGGCTATTTTGACAAAGAGCAAAATTTTAAGGAGCCTTGATTCTTGATTTTCAAGGCTTTTTATTCAAAAGAGCCTTTTTGTATCTTGGATTCTATGCTGCTTAATTTTTACTTCTGTACTTGGGGATAATTTAAGAAATGTAGGACAAACTTATTAGCATCTGAAAGCACCTCATTTCTTTCAAATATGTCTTGATATAGTTTTGTTGTTTTACCTGTTAAAGATGCACTGTTACCTCTCCCTTGAAGCGTTTTGTAGTTTTGTTGTTGTCATATCTGTTTTAGAATTTTGTAAATTTTCATTTTTTTTAATTGATAAATATTTTTACCTTTGTAGGACAAACTTAGGTAAAATTTTCATTTTTTAGTAGGAATTTCCATGCATTTTACTTTGGACATGTATTGTACTTCTAGGGTAACAATGAGTTGGTATACTCTCCGTCATCTGGATTTTCAGAGTACTTGGCTGTTTTTCCTTCTTTGCTTTTCGATAACTAAAGGTCTATTTTGGGCAATTTTTTTGTTGCTTTCTTTTCAGACCGCATGACATTTTTTTTTTTTTTTTTTTTTTTTTTTCGGGGGGCTTAGAGCATTGGACTTCTTGGTGCGGAAGGAAATGCTCAACCACCAGACCACCATAACATCCGCGATCATATCACATTTCTATTTAGACATTGCTTTCTGGCAGCTTTTCATGAAGTTTTGTGGTGGAAAGCTGCTTTTGAGAACCATATTTGCTGAATTGTAGTAGATGTAAGAAAGCTAATGTCCAATTTAGAAAAAAATGTAATACCCTTGGCAGCTTTACCAAAAGTTGGTTTTCCTCGTAACAGCATACCGACTTTTGCAAAAAGCTACAGTTACCTCAAATGAACGCTGTGTGCTGTACTCTTAGTTGTTCACTATTGCCTTTCAACTACGGGCAACATATGCTGATTAGTCATCTGTTCTCATTTTTCTCGCGTTTTACTACCCTTGAACTATAGGCATAACCTCATTACTGCCATTGCAGACATAGAAATGGCCATTTTGTTGTTGATTGCCTTGTTGGGTTTAATCCCTCCTTTTTCCTTATTTTTTAACCATTTCAGCTTTCATTTCTCTCTCTTCATTTGACAAAAAACAGTGGTGACACTGATAAGGCAGAACAAAAAGGTAAGCGTCTTTGGTAGGGTATTAGAAAGGCTTGGAGAGAGAGAGGGGGGTGGCTTTGGTAGAGTACTTTGGAGGGGAGGGAGTTTCCATGCAACCATATAGACTTATGTACAAATATCTCTTTTAATTCTTATAAAAATTTCACATGTATGTCAAAGTTGTTAAGGGTGCACTCAGAATCCGAATCTTTCATTTTTTTTAAATACAATTTTCTTAAATCGTTAGATTTCGGCTCATGCTTATTTTGAGTTTCCTGAACAGCCAAATTTAGAGCGGACCTATTATATTGAATTATCATGTTTTAGATGATAACCTGTGAGAATTGCTTCAAATTAGTCACTTTATTTCAAGATATGTCAAATTTTTTTAGATATTTTTTCACACCTTTAGGAAGTTTAACCTAGTCTCTAAGCTCTTTTGTAAAGTAAGAACATAAATGATAAAATAACATCATTCATGTTTTGAAAATACCCCTAAAAATCCAGAATTCTCTATAACAATTCCCCATAACCGTTGATCATGTATCCTAATACACTTACCAAGGATGCAATGGATGACGTTGACCTCATTTTCAGTGAGGTCTTAGTCTCCTACTCTTAGAACCCAGGAGCTAGATTTAGGAGTTTCTTATTGACCATCATAGCAGACTGGTAATGGAGTCCACCTCCCATAGAACTTCAGACCACTTCTTGATTTATTTTTGCGAAGACCTCGCATGAATAGTCTCAAACACTCGACTCTTAGTTACAAGGACTAAGGACTAATATGTAGAGAGCCCAAAAATGAGTTCCCATAGGATCAGATAGCCTTAGGTGAACCCCCCGTGACTCGGCAACGCAAAGACTACAATTCACATATACACGGCGCATAAACCTAGCAATTCACGTCACCGACACTTACACGCATTGCACCGACAATTAAACTGAAGTCAATTTGTAAAATGACCTGTCATGACCCAAAATTCAAAGAAAGTTAAATTTGACGCTTTTTTTTACCTGACCATTGCCGAACACTTCCGGACGACCCCGTATGACGAAACGGACCATGCGAATGCATTCGGAACATCGACTTTAGCTAGAAGGGACACCCATATCGTTATGGCTCCGCGTGCAAGCAATCAACATGAAAATCGATGCACTTTTTTTTTTAAATTAAAGGAAGCGAGTTTAGGCTCAGCCTAGTTCCGATTCAAGCTGAACATGGGTTAGTTATTCTAGGTCGATTCACTAACGTAATTCACAATATGAAACTTCAAATTTCAAATTAACCCCAGTTTCTCCCTAATTAAATTTAATTACACATTATGACCTTCCACTTCAGCCCGAAATCTGATTGAAAATCATTCAATTACCCGCTCACCCTCCCGTAACGTTTGCTTTTGAAATGCTGGTTTACAAAATCATTCGACTCCTCCCCGCACCGAATTTGGCTGCTCCTCTCTACGCCGAAGTCTGCTCTACTCATTCGCCGTCCTCACGAAGAAGACTCTGAAATCCCCATTCGACTCCTTCTGCCTTTGAGAATTCGGCCCCTCGATCCCCATCCCGCCTTCTTCTTCCTCGCTCGATCGAAGCCAAAGAAACCTCCTGTTCTCTGCGTCGAGCTCACTCGCCCCCTCTCTGCATCGAAGCCCTGCTCGTCTCCTCTCTTTCTCTTGACATAGGCTCTGCACCGAAATCCTATACTCAACTGGTTCGGCCTCCCTCCCTCCTCGTGACCAGATTCTGCTCCTCTTTTCCTCACACTGAAACACTCGCCTGCTTCATCTGTCCTGCTCGACACCCTCTCCCCACTCACCAAAATTCTCCTCTCTTCCTCTCGACAGAGGCCCTGCACCGAAATCCTGTATTCAACTGATTCTTCCTCCCCCTTTCTCAGAACCAGATTACGAGCTCCCTCTGCTTGAAGCCGCCGATCGACCTCGCCTCCCTCTACCGCTCGATCTTTCTCTCCTCTCTGCACCAGCATTCGCCTTTTTTTTTTTCTTCCCGCTCACTTCGCCTCTCTGCATCGAAGCCCTCGCCTTCCTCTCCCACTCGATTCCTTCCCCTCTGGCATTCGAGCTCCCTCTTCCTCCCGCTCGCCTCTCCTCACGACGAAGCCCTCGCCCCCCTCTCTTCTGCACTGAACCCGTTCACCTGCTTCTCTGCTCTCGATTCCACAATTTTTAGAGAATTGCAGTTGCTGTTAGCAAGGAGTCAGCTACGAGATCACGGTGAACAGAGCCAAAAATTGAAAATTGTTGATGCCATGTACATCAGTACTGAATCAGCATCAAAGCTGCAGAAAGGGACACTTCAGCTTTTGGAGGTAATAAAGTGAACATTTTCTTCTCACCTATCAAAATAAGAACGAGCATAATTAAGATATTCATAAATCAGCATATGTTTACATTTTTTTCGATATATGTACATACATGCTCTCTCTAAGGGTAACAAACTTTGGTACAGTTTGTGCTTACATAGTTTCATGCATGTATTGTATGTGGTCAATGATAAAGTTCATGATTGTTCCACATTTTATTTCATAATTTGGGTCACATATCAGCCATTTGATGAAATGCCCCCCCTTATTTACAGAGGAAAAAGGTGTATTTCAATTTTTTTTAGGTTCGAATAGTGTTTTTTTATGTTATATGAAATATTTGGGTGGTATAAATGTCGAGAGCAAAGATTTAAGTGTTAGACATATATGTACATAATAATTTTGTGGTATGTATGCAAACCCCTTCAACTTTCCAAGGTTGCTGTTTAAATTCGCAGATTACATGGGTGTACCCATAAGGTCCATAATTTGGAAGACTTAATATCGATAAACCATAACTGATTGAAGGGTTATAATTTATTCTGTGAGGTAGGTGAAACAGAGATTTAATGCACTCATATCAGATTCACCCAGAAAGCTAAACTAAATATTGGTTTCTTTTCATTGTAATATATATATATATATATATATATATATAGACACACAAGCACAATGGAATTTGCTTGTTAAAGATTACACAAGCACAATGAAGAGAATTAGAAAACAGCTGTTAGAGGAAAATTGCATTGCCTAGACTGAAATAAAGAGAATTATGGAGGAACAGTTTTTCATGACCTACATACTGCTTTGAAAATAACCCTTAGAATTGTATGTGAGGAACCCCTTCAAGGTTACAATCTGAAGCCCACACTTAAAATAAAATAGATCTTTCTCAGACATTATAATTGGCAATCCTGCATAGCTGGTTAAATTGATTGAGAATATCTTTCCAAATCAGAGCAATATGCAAAATGGTTGCAACGTTGATTTCCCATAGAAAATATGTGACGATAAATCTTTTACTATAATGCAACCTGATACTGAGGTAAAGTTTGTTAAAAAGGGGGTGGGATTGATAAGAGAGGGAGAGGGAGAGAGAGAGAGAGTTTTGGTCATTTTGAGGATGAGGTAAAGTTAGTTAAAAAGGGGGTGGGATTGATAAGAGAGGGAGAGGGAGAGGGAGAGAGAGAGAGATTTTTGGTCATTTTGAGGATGAGCGGAATGAGGGTTTATTCACTTTTGGAAGATTTACATACATACCACTTGATCGCTATGTATTTGCATATCTAGCACCTAGATTTTGCTCTTTCACCTAAATCTTTAAAATCCTTTGGATTTTGGATATTTGGTGTGTAAATACATTGGAATTGAGTGATATACATATTGAATACACTTAACTATTGACATGCTTTTCATTATGCATATCTGCA